TAACTGGGGTAGGCCGTGGACGTCACAAGACGTGTGGGAACTTTTTAAGAAAATGAAAGAGAAACCTGTGTAATATCTGCAGAGCAGAACTTACCTTCCACAGCAATTATTTTTAGTTAGCATATAGCTAAAATCTAACCATGGTTATATAATAGCAGCTGCATTCTGGCACGATATGTTTTATATTCAATTAATGTTTGATCCGATTATTAGACTAATCGAAAAAATAATCGGTGATTAATCGATTATAAAAATAATCGTTTGTGGCAGCCCTATTAGTGACTAAAGAAAATGACACCATAAGTCAGATGTTGTATCTGATACATAAAAAAGGGGGAAAGCACACTTCCTGTTAAGACAGCRTCAGAATTGTGAAACAGTGTGAAGTGAAATAACCAGAATGCGACTTTGTCGTGTCTGTAAAGTAAGTGTAAAGCAGGATGCAATGATGTTATCCAAGCAAAACGCCGACCAATTGTAGTCACAGTTTGCCACTGATTTTCAGTGCTGAATGACTGTTGAAATTGAGAAACCCAAATCAATATTTATCAATATCGACCGATATAAAACGCTTCTATCGTCATACATTTTTCAGATATATTTTTCCAGCCTTAGTTTGATTGCAACAAACTTGTCGAAAAACAGGAAATCACTGGTGTGAATTCACACATAAAGAAGGTTCAACCTGTTGCTATGCCATCAAAGAGCGACAGGACACGAATGGGCGTCCTCTTCTCCACCATGACGGGGGGGTAAAGCTTTGGTGGATCCTGAAAAAGGGGGGAGGAGACTCGAGAGTTCAAAATAAAATTACAAGTAAGGCAGTTATTTGTAAGTACATTAAATTACTCACAAAATCTTGGTCATGGTTATTTGCAAAGAAGTGCTGCAGGCGGATGGGCCAGTCTGAGCGACGCTCCAGCAGACCGAACACACCCTTTGGACAGCACATGTAGCAGTTCCACGGGTCCTCTTTGATGGCAGCGAGGGCAGCTCCTGGACCAACAAGGAGGTCCACACACTCTACACAGAAGCACCTGAACACACCGTGAGGAAGTATGTATTAATACAAGTACTGCATTAATGACGTAGTCACAGTGTCGAGTACAATCATTAATTTAACAAACCTACAGGCAGAAAACTCACCGACAACAGTTGTTATTCCCACACATGAGCACCTCGCGCCCCCCGCAACAAATAGTGCAGTATGACTGATAACCATCATCATCGTACTGATATGCACATTCTAGGAAGCAATTCTGCAACACACAGAAACAAATAACACGATCAGTTTATTTTATTAGCTCTTATTTCTCATTTACATCGGAAAATTTGTACAGTTTATTTTATTTCTTGCTGACCTTGCAGCTCTGACACATTCCTCCAGCGAACAGCGGGTGCTCCAGGCTAACATTCAGGCTTCCACAGGAGATGCAGATGTCTGCAGGAAGATGAGTGAGTTAGTATTTTAGCAGTCATGGTTCAGAGAAGGGTATGAAGGCCTCAAACTTGCGTGTCTGTGAAAATCTTTACACAATAACGCACATCTTTATGAAGAAGAATCAGCTTTGTTGGTATGAATACACACAACAGAAGCAGTAATGTGACAAACCATACGATTGAATTTTCTTGATTTTCTCATTTTTATTATACTTTAACACRAATAGGTCAAGGTGAGTGAATGAATCCTGAGTGAGTCTGAGAAAATCTTAGACAAAGCAACACTTACCCTCGATACTGCGGGACTTTTGTCTCACTTCATAAACAAGCCGCTCTGAAGGAAAAGAATTAACGTTAATTTATTAACACGTTAATTAATGTGCAGCCAAAAACTACTTCTAAAAAAATCTACTAATTTGTGTTTTTAAGACAATTCCTTAGTTATCACCTGCTAAAGTTGATGATGTTTTAGCCTTTGTGTGTGTTCTTTTGCCTGTTAGTAAAATATCTCATAAGCCAATGGACAGATTTCAATGAAACTTTCAGAAGCTAATTATTAAATGTTCATCTGAAAATGCATACATGTCAAGTTGTACGGATTGTCCGTAAGTTACAATGATTTTCAACCATTTTCCACATCTTGAAACTGTATTTTATATGTATAGAGAAAATCTCACAGATTTTCTTCAAAAACTCAGATTTTCAATTAATTTTACACCTCAGAGTTGGCCTGTAAGGAAAAACTGAGTTCACCCCCTCCTCCTCTCACTAGACTGTAGATTACCCACTTTGTGGTAGAAGTTGTTATTCCCCCACAAACACCAAGACCATTGTATCAGGAGAGAGTACTATGGATTTTTTGGTAAAAAGTAAATGGAAAATGGCTTGATCTTATATAGCACTTCATCAAGACCCTCCGGACTCCAAAGCGTTTTACACTTCAAACATTGACCCACTCACACACTGATGGTGGTTAGCTACATTGTAGCCACAGCTGCCCTGGGGGACACTGACAGAGGCGGGGCTGCCATGCACTGGCACCACCGGACCCTTTGACCAACATCAATAGGCAAGGMGGGTGAAATGCCTTGCCCAAGGACATGACTGAGACGGCTGGACGGGGGATCAAACGTTGCAGGACGACTCCCCTAACCACTCTGCCACAGAGGCCACTTTTGTGAAATTTGAGGACCTCTTAAAGTCCGTATACAGGTACAGTAAATGTCTGAACGGGTTGACATGAGTGTGAAGTTATGTTTGCCCATAAATTATTCAGATTTTCCATCATTTTGCATGTACAGCAGGTAAAATAAGTATTGAACACGTCACCATTTTTCTCAGTAAATATATTACTAGAGGTGCTAATGACATGAAATTTTCACCAGATGTTGGTAACAACCCAAGTGATCCATACATACAAAGAAATCAAACCATAAATGTCCAGAAATGAAGTTATTTGTAATAATGTGGAATGGCACAGGGAAAAAGTATTGAACACATGAAGAAAGGGAGGTGTAAAAAGGCATGGAAAGCCAAGACACCAGCTGAACTCTCCCAGTAATTTCAGTAAGTGTGTTTAATACTTTTTCCCTGTGCCATTCCACATTATTACAAATAACTTCATTTCTGGACATTTATGGTTTGATTCCTTTGTATGTATGGATCACTTGGGTTGTTACCAACATCTGGTGAAAATTTCATGTCATTAGCACCTCTAGTAATATATTTACTGAGAAAAATGGTGACGTGTTCAATACTTATTTTACCCGCTGTAAACAGATATAAAATACCACAGATTTGTTTTCTAGTTCACTCCGTCCTCCTCCCACTAGACTGTACCTGCGCCCCCCCGACACACACACACACACACAACATCATCTCTTCCCTGCTGCAAACACCCCCCCCCCCCCCCCGTTGTATCACTTGAGAGTCTTGAGAGACTACCAATTATTTTTTAATCTATGGATTTTTCAAGGTCAGTATACAGGTAAGAGAAAATCTTAGAGGGCCCAACRTAATTGATCCGAAGCAGAAGAGTCGACTCCTGGTCATGTGGTGGTAAGATGTTCATTTTCTCACACACCTCTCATAGTTCACGAGGCAMACAGCACAGAGACCCTGGAAAACCCTTCCCACTGCTGTACACGTCACAGCACAGGTTTCTTCCCACTTGCAGATTCCATTCTGATTTCTTCCATTTGGCCACAAATCTAGCAAGGATAGAGCACCAAACTTTTCAATGGACGCACTCCTCCTCTGCACAATATCTGCGTCATCTCCACCYATGAGTTTTTGGCCATTTCACTCTCTTTATAAGTGTCTAAAAGAGTCCTATGGATGAACATACTTTCTGACTCCCTCGGACAAACGCTCCTCAAAACTATCCAYGTTGTTYGGACGCACAACAGTCAGCTACTGGAAGCAGAGTAGTCGAAGCAAAAAGACACCATTGCTGTCTGAGYGCTTTTCTGATGAACAAACACACCCATGAACTTCTCATCGATCACGCATTCACAAGTAAGAAATAGTTCAGTCTGAGCCTTGTGTCAAGAAGATGTGGTGAAGCTGCTCTGCAAACAAAATGACACATTTTTTTTGTAACATAACTGATGTAACTGCAACAATGAGAGACAATTTTGCAGCTTCGGATGGGGTATGTAGGAGCCTTAAGCCAATGAAGTTCAAGAGCTTATCAGCTAATAGGCTTTTTTCAACACGAAAAGGCTGTAATTCAGTCAATTTTGTAGATATTGAGCTAAAACTGATAGCAGGTAGACTGGTAGTAGTATAGTGTCATCACACTTGCTCTGAGCATGAAATCTATGCATACYGTTATTTTCACAGTTTTATAAAAACAGCGACAACTTCATAGTTTGTCTACATAAAATGATCTTAGTCTAAAACTCAAAAAAAAGGAAATGTAGCTGTGTGTCAGCTCTAATGCTACGTTCACACCGAACGCGTTTTGAGCTGCCAAAAGGTGCAAAACGCCTCAAGTTGGACGCACTATGTTCAGACCGYCCAAAACGCGCGCCGCCCAAAACGTACGTGACGCGACGCACGCCCCCTAGAGGCGCCTCCATCATAGACTCTATCGGCCGCTCCTGCCGCTCAAAACGCGTTCGGTGTGAACGTAGCATTAGACAGATCTTCTTACCTCGTGTTCGTTCATCAACTATCTCCTTGACCTTGGGTTTTTCCACGGTGCTCTTGCGAGGCTTTTTGGCTGGAGGAGGTGTGTAGGCTGCAGCTTCTGGTTCCACCCACATCTCAGGGTAAACCTCTGAGTTACGTTCCTCTGGGGCGCACATGTGATTAAAATTACAGAAAGGATTTTGAATTATTTATTAGAAATATGATCAATTTACACACAGTAATTTCAAACTCTACCAGCTCCTATTCAGTGAAAAGTCTAACTTCTACATACCCTCTGGTGGCTCTAAGCCTCTGGGCCCAGTGGGCTGAAACCCAGTCATAGCCCACTCAATCATTTGCTTGTTTAACATTTCCACAGATTTTGATGTTTCTGTCTCATCACTGTCTGGACACGCCATGAAGGTTTTTCCTGCTCGGCTGCTAGCCATCTGCAAACATAGAAAAATTCAACACATCTTTATTTTAAGGTTAACCCTTACAGTAAATTGCATGCCAGTTTGCTTTGATCAACTTAAAATATGCTGTTGCAATATTTGATGAAAATACTGAGAAACATTTTTCCCCATGTTTGTGTTTGCTTGTTTATTAGCAAATTAGCTCATGAAATACTCATCAAATTTTAATCATTGGTTGGACTTCGACAACGAATTCACTTTCATAGTCAATCATGGTGGCTGCCACAGCTAAGTAATATTAGCAAAACACAAACATTTTAAAAATACAATCAAGTCTACAGTTTCTTATGAACAAATATAACAATTTTTTCACAATATATTTTGATAACAGACAAACAAGGTTGATTCAAACATTTTTTTACCGAAACTTTAAGTAAAGATCTAGTCCAATGAGTAGTGCTTGGAGTCTGTGTTGTTGACTCTTGGCTACTAGCACAGCCTTTAGTAGCAAAAGGCTGTGTTAGTACAAACACTGCAGTAGCGATTGCGATGCTTTTAGTAGCCTCCCTTCAGATAATCAGCTTGCTGGCAGCACAGCCGTGGAAACTTGTCCATTGGGATCTCCTCAACAAATTCACTTACTCTCCCCGTACGTCTGTCCTTCCGTTCACCTTATGAGATTATCTAAATAATGAAGGCCTGTGATTATTCCAGCAAAACTGCTAACAGTTGGTCACTACTGAATGAGGGACATCAGTGACAGTTAGTGTTAAGTTACAGTATATCTTGTAATTATTAGGAATGCTGGTGCAAGTTTTTTAATGCAAACTGTTGAGTAAAAGTAACACAAGCATACTATAATATCCATCCATCCATCCATCCATCCATCCATTTTCTTCCGCCTATCCGGGGTCGGGTCGCGGGGGCAGCAGCTTCAGAAGGRAGGCCCAGACCTCCCTCTCCCCAGCCACTTCTTCCAGCTCCTCTGGGGGAACTCCAAGGCGTTCCCAGGCCAGCCGAGAGACATAGTCCCTCCAGCGTGTCCTGGGTCTTCCTCGGGGGCCTCCTCCCGGTGGGACGTGCCCGGAATACCTCACCAGGGAGGCGTCCAGGAGGCATCCTTACCAGATGCCCGAGCCACCTCAACTGGCTCCTCTCGACGTGGAGGAGCAGCGGCTCTACTCTGAGTCCCTCCCGGATGACCGAGCTTCTCACCCTATCTCTAAGGGAGAGCCCAGCCACCCTGCGGAGGAAACCCATTTCGGCCGCTTGTATCCGGGACCTCGTTCTTTCGGTCATGACCCAAAGCTCATGACCACAGATGAGGGTAGGAACGTAGATCGACCGGTAAATCGAGAGCTTCGCTTTCTGACTCAGCTCTCTCTTCACCATGACGGACCGGTACAGCATCCGCTTTACAGCAGACGCTGCGCCAATCCACCAGTCGATCTCCCGCTCCCTTCTTCCCCCATTCGTGAACAAGATCCCCAGATACTTAAACTCCTCCACTTGAGACAGGGCGACCTCCCTGACCCGGAGAAGGCACTCTACCCTTTTCCGGCTCAAGATCATGGCCTCGGATTTGGAGGCACTGAGCCTCATCCCGGCCGCTTCGCACTCGGCCACGAACCGCTCCAGCGAGAGCTGCAGATCTCGTTCCGATGAAGCCAACAGGACCACATCATCCACAAAAAGCAGAGATGCGATCCTAAGGCCACCAAAACGGATCCCCTCAACACCTCGGCTGCGCCTAGAAATTCTGTCCATGAAAGTAATGAACAGAATCGGTGACAAAGGGCAGCCTTGGCGGAGTCCGCCTCTCACCGGAAATGAGCCCAACTTACTGCCGGCAATGCGGACCAGACTCTGACACCGGTCGTACAAGGACCTGACAGCCCTTATTAAATGGCCCGGTACCCCATACGCCCGGAGAACCCCCCACAAGGGCCCCCTTGGGACACGGTCGAACGCCTTCTCCAAGTCCACAAAACACATGTAGACCGGTTGGGCGAACTCCCATGCACYCTCCAGGACCCCGCTGAGGGTGTAGAGATACATACATACACACATACTATAATAAAATAGCACAAATATGTGCTTCGAGTTAACCAAGCTATGAAAAACACTCACCTGTAACACTTCATAGATTGCTTTTTTGTACATGGGCTGTTTGTTGTAAGTTGGTTGGTGAAAGGCATTATTAAATGAACTTAAAGGCAATAGCTTCTCTACACAGACCTGTGAAAACACAAAAACATGTGATTTTTTTAATTCACGTTTTAACACAGTATATGCTTTTCAACAAAATGTGTTTAAACATAAAAATGTCAAAAACAACAGTTCAGCAAACATAAAAGGAAAACCTGAACGAAAACTTGTGAGAATTGAATTGGCTGAAAAATCAATCAAGAAAAGACCGTGACAGAAATGTCGTTGTTGGCTCTGAACACTCACCACTGAGAACTTTCCATCTCCAAACCACATGACCCATCTGGTTCCCTCAGCTGCTCTGCTTCGGCCTGTCATCCACCAGGAGACAATGCGGCCTGGCCACCAGGAAAATCCTCGCAGCTTCCCCCAAACCAGCTCACCAATGCCAAAACCACGATCATCCTGCAGCGAAACAAACAAAACAAAACAAGCCAACACAAGTCACAAACCATTCATGTTCAGTAATTGGCAGAGTAGGATTTTTTTCTAAATCTGAATAGTTACATCAAGTAAAAAATTACAAAAAAAAAAAACCTATTTCAAAAATTAAAGKTCTAGCATTCTATGAAAGAATGCGTATTGTCTCCTGGCCTTTATGTCAGAGTTCTAGACTAAGGAATTTGTTAAAAGAAGAATTTCTCAACTAAATTATTAAAGTTAAAACAAGCAAAAGAGAAGCTAAAATCAGCTAAACTGTAACGCAAAACTAAATATAAATTAGCACGTTTGAATAAAGTTAAAGTTACCAAAACACTTGTGAAAAGCTAAAAACAATAAAACTTCTTAAAGCTCAAATTAGCAAAATAGCAACTAAAAGCTTAAACTGACATAACAGTAGCTAAAAGCTAAATGTTAATTAAAACCTAAAATTAGCAAAACATTTGTTAGGTTGTGCAAATGAGTGTGCAGCTGCTGAGCAGTGACTGGTGTTCTGCTGAGTGCTGATTGGCTGTCACATTATGGCTTCATGTATTAAAAACAGCCTCTGGCACCTCCTCTGTTCTCTGTTTTAAATGTGCAGTTTCTGTCAGCACCAGATCACRGAGAGCTGCAGCTCTGGAAGATGCTGACAGATTTAAGATTTTGATCTGACATACAGACAAACAAACTAACACTAACAAAAACACAACTTCCACGGCTGAGGTAATTCACGTTTTATTCAACAATATAATCTAACTTGCAGATCTTGTCATATGTCCTATGTTTCATCTCTGGTTTAAAAAAATTAAAAGTTAAAGAATAACAACAACAAAGTTTACATAAACTTCAACAGCAGTCACTCACTGCTGGGGTTCAGTGAGTGGGAGGGGGAGTGAGTTGATGGAAACATTTTTGTGGTTTTAAAACCTGTAACTTTTTCACATTGTAGCATATATTGAACCTAAACCTAAATTTGAACCAATCAGAAGCAGTGAAGAATAGGCCATGACTTCCTGTTTTCAACCAAGTCCTGTTGATAAAGTATTTGACATTAAATGGCTCGAATTATCAGGGTTGTAATGTAACTAAGTACAAATACTTTGTTACTGTACTTAAGTAGAATTTTTGGGTATCCATACTTTACTTGAGTAATTATTTTTCAGCATACTTTTTACTTTTACTTATTACATTTTTACACAATTATCTGTACTTTCTACTCACTAGATTTTTTTTAAAAGGTAAGAAGTGGAACGTCGTTACTCCTATTTTATTCTGAGTTGTTTTTACTTAAAACAAATAATATCCTGATAAATTGTGTCTCCTGGATAGAGTGAATTTAATTGTGGTTGGATGAGAAGTATAAATACCTATATACCATTCTGACACCCTATTGGCTTGTACACAACCCTTCACAGCTGCAAGCCGTTAGAAAAAATATTTTTTGGAGAAGTCACCTCCCAATAAATGTCATTTTGGAAAATCTAACAGCTCACTTTTACTCAGTACTTTTACTTTTAATACTTAAGTAGATTTTGTGTTAGACATTTACTTTTGATACTTAAGTACAAAAAAATCAGATACTTTAAGACTTTTACTCAAGTAATATTTTTAGAGAAGACTTTAACTTTTACCAAAGTATTTTTATGATAAGATACTTGTACTTTTACTCAAGTATCACTTTGAGGTACTTTATACAACAGTGCTAATTATAGTGTAGTTAGTAACACTGTGGATCAGTAACAAGTATTGGTACAGTGGATGAAATTCCAGGAGTACTGGCCCACTTTGAGCACTGACCTGGACTTGTACTACAGAACCACGCTGTTATAATTTATGCAAAAAATATATTTTTGACTGTCTTGCCTAAACAGACAAAGCCTTTCATCAAACCCATGCAGAGWATATTAATGTTCCATAATGATCCATACCCTCGATAAGGCTTGCTTTTGATCTCTTTTTTTTTTCATAAAGTTGAAACATGTTTTAAGAAACTAGTTTGTAAAATGCTGAGATTTCCCCTAAAATACATTCATACAGCACTCAGACAAACAGGGATAGAATGTTATTATTCCTTACCTTCTGWCACTACTAACACCTGATGAGTCAATCTAAATGAGGCTAATCTGGATGTTAAAAATGAATAATCACTTTAAACTGAACTCCTTGTTCATCCAATGAAGACCTCTGAAGACCAACAACAATATAAACGGGTGTGAAYCCTGGTCAGAATGATCGTACCTCGTACTCAGGCTCAGTGTCTGCAGTCTTGGGGGAAGTTTTGTCCTCTCCGACGGTGACAGGCTCCGGGGTGGTTGCCACATTTGGGGAGGCTGGGTCAGTGGGCTGCTGCTGCTGCTGAGGAGGCTGCATATGTTGTTGCTGCTGTGGCAGAGACGTTTGGGATTGCTGTTGATACTGAGGCTGTGACAGAGACTGACTGTGCTGAGGCTGAGGCTGCTGTTGTTGCTTTGAAGGCTGTGGGTGTTTGATTATGGAGAAATCCTCCTTCTGAGAGTCGGTTTCATTCTCGCCGTCCTTCATCGTGTTCATCGTTGACATTAGCTTGGCCTTTTTCTCTGCCTGGAAAAAACAAGCGATAGTAAAGGTGACTACAAAACATTTTTTTGGTGATACATGCATTCACTGTGTTTACTGTAAAGCCAGTAGCTCTCTGGGCTGCAACTGGTGGAGACTCTGCATTTGTGAGGAAGTCTCTAAAACAGAGGTGCCTTAAGTGGGGCCTGAGGGCCAAAATTGGCCCACCAAGCCATTTGATTAGTCCCACCAGGAGTTTCCATGGTTTTAATCACCTGTCATCCAACAGAAACACTGTATTTCCACTTAGAGACTTTCCATACATTGGCCCACTGACTATGTCTAGAGCTGTAATGCAAATAGTCTTMACAGATGGTGCTGACTTTATCTTTAAATTATATTAAGATTAAATTTGAAATAAAAGTAACAACAAGATCAATTTTGATTAGATTTAAGCACACATGTAGTCCCACCAGGAGTTTCCATGGTTTTAATCAC